TCGCGGGCTGACATACCTGGAGGGAACGCCCGGTTTCTGAGTAATGGAGTGAGTGGGGACGGGGAAGAGGATAAGCCAAATTTAAAAGCTATTGCATCCCAAATTTTGAGAGAGTTAAGTAAAGCTAGGCACGTGGCCCGTAATATCACTCTGCTATCCCGAGGAAGATCTGCTTCTGTCATTAAGGATTCCAAGTCAACCCATTTCCTGACATCTATTGGTACATGCCACATTGCTATCTGAGTAATCTGCGCAGCTACATAATAATAGTAAAGATGCGTCAGTCCCAGTCCTCCCCGGTAGAGGACATTTCTGGAGACCCTGTGCCTCTTGTTCTGCCATATGAACAAACCTATAGCACTTTGTAGAGGTACTAAATCTGCTTTCGTGATCTTAATCGGGAGGGCCTGGAACAAGAACAGAATAAGTGGCAATATGTTCATCTTCACGGAGTGAACTCGGCCAATCCACAATATTGGTTTCTCCATCCAATTGTCCATATCTTCAATCAAAGTTTTTTATAAAGGTCAGTAGTTAATTTCGAACAATTTGGAGGGATTAGCCGTTAAAATCCTTGCTAACAGGTGAAACGCGTTAGTGTTTTATACAGCCTTTTGCTAATTTGTTTTGTTTTATTTGTCTCCAATAAAGATAGCAGAGTTAAGCTATTTTGGAGCCTCCCATCCTATCCTTTTAAACATCACAGTTTCATCATCAAGAACTTGAGGACTCGCAAGTGATATCCTTGGTGGGGATTATTCCACCTACGCTTCCTATACTGAGCAATATTCCTTTTGCTCCCCGCTTGTGAGTATACCTCCTCTTTTTTATCCTAGTTTAATTCCAGACCATACAGAGAGTACTATATTGTGTTTTTATTTTGCCTCCTACACACCGAGGATACCGATTTTGACACTATTTGACACCAGAACACCCTTACCCAAAAGACACCTCTGAGAGTGTACCAGGACCATCATCATATCCATAGACGGGGATTGTACCGTCCAGGCGCATATATCCGAAACTGAATATAAATTCCAGAAAATTGTAAATGCTAATTTTTCTTTATTTACCACTATCAGCAATTTAACATACTACACTATATCCGTGTCCTCTCCTCTCTCTCCTATATTTCACTGCGCTTGAGAAGACTACCACAGGCGCTGCTTCCTGACACTACCTTCCATATCTACCATTCTACCAGAAAAGAATAGACTCTGGTTCCAGGGATGTTCTAGCAGCCACATTACAAGCACTGATATATTCCACTCCTTACTTACTTACCAAAAGGATAGAGATAGATAGATAGATAGATAGATAGACCGACAGACAGATAGATAGATAGATAGATAGATAGATAGATAGATATAGGGAGAGATTTCAAATATGTATGTTTGCAGTCTAGCTTGAAAAAAATATTCAAGCCCATCAAGTCCAGCCATGTACACATCTTTTTTTTGCTTTTGATCTAAATGAAGATGTGACAAAGTGAAAAGTTCTTTCTTACTCCAATGTAACAATACTCTCCAGATTTTAGTCTGATTTTGCCTATTAGTATTTAATATTAATATTTGATTTAGTATTTTATTAAAAGTTATTGAATTCTCAAATTCAACAAATTTGTAAAGTACATAAAAAAAATGTAAACCTGGGTACATGTAGTTTATTACTTGTGAGTATATGATGTGAAACATATCAAGCATGGAATGATTTTGTATCTCTCTGTTTCGGTTTTGCCACTGTAGTTATTGCATTTTTAATCATACTAAAATAAAGATTTCATTTTTATTTAGATCATTAAATGAAACATCATCATTCCTCCAATTATGTTACAATGCATGTAGTGAAGATTTGCATTTGTCCCAAAATTATCCTCGCTATCCTAGAACTTAATTTTATGCTCCCTTCACAGTTTTGCATTATTTTCATTCAGATTATTTCACAATCACTATGATCCAAACAGAGTCTTAATAGTTGCTAAATTATGCTTTTGGGATTTCGTTCTTTGGCATCGTTGAATGTCAATTATTTTTCCAAGAATTAGTTTGATCATATTTTGGCTGGAAACTAGTTGAACAAACTTAACATGAAGATCAGGAAGACGAATCATACTGTTTAGAGCCATGGCCAAGGGTGGATATTACTTCTTCAAATATTTTTCTTTGCCAAATATATAAGTCTCAGCTGCTTTTTGTGTCAAATGGCACATACGTCTGTACGCACAGAATGTCTTTGATTCTTGTTTCCATGACTTTTAAAAAAATAAAAAAAATAAAGCGATTGCCCAAAAAGTGTTTTATAATTTATTATCTTCAATGCTTTTCTTCCCTGACAGTCACATAACATTTATAGGTTGTATTTTTTTGTAGCCAAAATGTTATATAATATCTGCTTATTATCATAGTGTAACTTTGGCTTACATTAAAATCCAACCATAACCGATCAATGATGTTTTTTGAATTCCAGCTGGTATTGCGCGTCAGTTCTTAAAGCAATCGCAATTTAAATTTCACAAACTTTTTTCTTCTCCCAGTAACTCCACTTACATCTGATGCTATTGTATGGAACCTAAACCATGCCATCATCTACAGTCTCACATTATGATCCCAAAAAGCAAAAATCACAAATCCAACAACAAAATATGACGCTTTCTGTGTTTTTTTTTTATATCAACAAGTTGAAGGTTACAGAGAGCTAAGTGCCTTGCTCATGCTAAATGGTGACAGAAGTGCCATTTAAGGGAAATGCATCGTTTAGAAACAGTTTTCTTATTCAAAAGCTTTAACTTTGAAAAAGTTACCTGCTTCTTCTTTTTTATGCTTTCCACACCCACTATGTGGGGGAGAGGAGCAATGATCTAGGCCTGACAGGTTTACACATGTGCATTTGGAAGATCTTTTCACTTTGCAACATCTGAAAGGGGGAGAGAAATGGTAGTCTGAGTGACCATAGAGAGTCGGTTCCTGTGTCAGGATTCTCTCTTGTGATGCTGCACAATGATACCCTGTTTCCATCATTAATGGACTGGTCTGAAACTGGGATGGGTGAGTAAGAGGTGGAGGCTGAAGAACTTCACTAGAGAGGTGTGCCCAATAATGCAATCTGACCAAGTTTATAAATGTTATTTACATACTTTTCAAAGTTTTTCTTGCTTTATTTTAGTTTATATATTTGTTTACAAGTGTTTGCTTGCTGGTTTAACAAATAATAATTGTTAATATATATATATATAGCTTGGTTGCTACTTCTAAGTGCTGCTTCTAAGTGTGTAGTTGGAGATATTCTGGAGAGTTTTACAGAAACTTCAACTGTCTAAGAGTTGTGCTAAGAGCTTTCTTTTCTACTGTTACAGGTAAGATTCATCTGTAGGAAAAGGTTACTGATTGCACAAGGTTTGAATTCCTGTTGGTAATTATAAGGCATTTGATTTGATTACTTGCTATTGATTGCTGTTTAAATTAGCTATTGTTTGCAAATAAGCAGAGGGCTACCCAAGTGTTAAACATTCCTAGTGGGTGGTGATTTTAGGAGTTATATAAGGGCTGTTGCCATTAGCTTGGCTAATATAGTTTGGTTGCTACTTCTAAGTGCTGTTTCTAAGTGTGTAGTTGGAGATATTCTGGAGAGAAACTGGAGGTAATCCGAGGTATTCAAGAGGATAAATAGTTAAGACTTGATTTGATTGATTTAAATTATTCTCCTCATTGGAATGGCAGACTTAGTTCAGTGTAATAGTTGCTATGCATTTGTTTCACGTTCCACTTTTTGGTTTGGTTGTTGTCTAATCTGTAGACAGTTCTCTATCTTGCGGCAGGAGATTGTATTTTTGAAGTCTGAGATTTGTAAATTATCTGGTGAAGAAACTCAGACTGGAACTGCTGCAAAGCCACTGCCGCAGAGACATACTAGGAATGGCAGATGGATTACTGTAGGATCTGGTAGACTTAGAGTTGTGGATAAAAGGCATATTGCACAGTCTGTTGCTCTTCATAATTCATTTTCTGAACTTTCAAAGTGTAATGGTGTTGTGGAGAGAGGCACTGAGGCTAGTAGTGTTGTGGAGAGAGGCACTGAGGCTAGTGGTGTTGTGGAGAGAGGCATTGAGGCTAGTGGTGTTGTGGAGAGAGGCACTGAGGCTAGTGGTGTTGTGGAGACCGGCTTGGAGACTATGGTGAGGCCTAATAGAAAGCAGTTGCTATTGGGGGATTCCGTTATAAGAGGTGTGGAGATGGACAATGGTGGTCCTGTGAGGTGTCTTCCCGGAGCTACTGCTCACAGAGACAGGAGACGTATCTGTAATATTGTTAAGCAAGCAAAGCATTAAGGGGAATTGGATGTACTTGTCCATCTAGGGACAAATGACTTGGCTTGCAATGAGGTTTCAGAGGTTAAGGAAGTTTTTAGTGTTTTTGCCAATGATATACGGCAGGTTGCTTCCACACTGTCATTCTCTGAAGTTCTGCCTGTGCATAACACTCAGAGCGACAGGCGGATGCGTATTAGGGACTTTAATTTGTGGCTTGGTGAATGGTGTCGGGAGCAAGGATTTGGCTTTATTTCTCATGGTAGCTCTGTTTGGAATGGAAATAAGCTGTACAAAAAAGATGGTTTGCATCTTTCTCAAAAGAGAACAAATGTTCTCAGTGAGCAGTTCAGAGGTTTTGCTAGGATGTATTTAAACTAGGAGGGGGGGGCAAAAGGGTGATAAAACATCAATCCAATTGTCCCCAAAAACAAGGACAGAAGGTGCCTGTAGCAAGTGTGTTAAAAAATGATAAGCTAAGGGGGTGTGGCTTGGGCGCCGGACAACATGGCCGCTTAAGGGGCGAGCTCCACTCCACCTGATCCCGACATCGCGTCTCAGCAATAGCGAGAACACATCTATGGGTCGCACTTGACGCCCGGAGGCCCCCCAAGCCCTGAGGGGTACCCAGCAGGGCCCGTTGGACGGGTACTTACAGCCGCAACCGAGCAGGAGCGGTGAGGGGGGAAGTCCCAAAATGGTGCCGGCATCCCCGGCGGGCTCCGACAACACAACGCTGGACCGGATAGAGGAGGAACTGAGGAGCCTCACCGCATCCATGGTCACTAAGGCTGACCTCCACACCCTTACAGCTGCCATTCAGGAGACTCTGAGGGAAGAGATGGCGGGAATCATGTCAGAGGTCACAGCACAGGCGGGCCACATCCAGGCACTTGAGCAGGCTGCTGAGGTTCACACCACCAAGCTTACAGCCACAGACTTGGCAGTAGCTCGACAGGGGGAAGTTCTCCTGGCTCTCCGCAGGCACATGGAAGATCTGGACAACAGGGGGGAAGAAAATACAGAAAACCCTCACAGAGCTGTTTCAATCACTGCTGCCAGCAACTCCCCTCCAGCGCTTCAAATTTGAGAGAGCCCAAGAGCGTTAAGGCCTAGATCGCTAGAGGACGGTCCCAGGGACCTGGTGTGTTGCCTGCACTCGTTTCCGGTGAAGGACTCCATCATGAGAAAGGCCCGTGAGCAACCTATTTGGCCCTTTCGAGGGGCGCAGGTTTCCCTCTACCATGACCTCTCCCCCATCACCCTGGAGGCGCGCCAAGCACTCAGACCAGTCACAGCGGTATTACGGGAACGCCAAGTCCCGTACAAGTGGGGGTTCCCGTTTGCCCTGCTGCCGCACCACCAGAATCGATGGGTCCCACTGAGATGGCCAGAGGAGGTCCCCCGTTTCATGGAAGAACTGGAGCTGCCACCGGTAACTGTCATCAACTGGATTCTGGGGCCCATGGGACCCCCACCGAGACCCCAACGGATGCCCAGACGCGACGCACGATCCCAGCCAGGACGCCCTCCTCAGAGGCATCGTCATCCGACGGCCCCGGAGGAGTAAGTGAGTAGCTTCAGACAAAGGGGGCGCCACCACGCCACCCACGCATCCAGGGACACCGCATGGCTCTGGTACCCACCTGTCGCTTGGGCCTCCCGGGGCTGCTTGGACATTGGCACGCTAGTTGGGAGGCTTATCTGCCCTGGTTCAGTGGGGCCCCTGACCGCACGGGATGGGCTACTTAGTAGATGTTGGGAGGGGGGGATTTGGGTTCTGCAGCTGGTTACGGGTCCTCTCACTGACTCTGTCTCCCCAAAGTTGGACTCAGTTTCCAGGTATTAAAGAACTTGGACTCTTGCACACCTGCACATGGACATTGGGCTTTGGGGTGGGGGAGAGGGGAGGGTGTGGACTTGGCCCAATCTGCCACTGGGTCGGGAGCGCTACAGCATATAGTGCGGACTGGGTCACGCTTTCCCCCCTTTGCTCTGGGGGCTGGTGCACAGGGGCTGTTTACTTTTTGCACATGATGGGACTCCCGGCCGCTGCTCGTGGGGGGGGCTCTGTGGGGCTGCGGGGGCTCGCCCTCTCCCTTTCCCCACGGATGGTCCTTGGGCAATGCTATATGGCTTTTTCAGGTCTTTTCTGTACTATACTATGCCCACACATCTATGCTCAGCACTGCAGGACCTTATCACCTGAATGACACAGGCGGGGGGCCTTTACAGCAGGGGACGGGTCATGGGGGGGGAGGACGAGACTTATGCGAGCCTTGTGGGGTCACGGAGGGAGCTGGATGTCAGTATTTAGGTTAGCAGGGGGGAGAGTTCGGCCCACGCTACGTTCACTGGTCACCGCTCCTGACACCAGAGCACACGAGGAGCGCCGGGTGCGGGGGCTTCAGGCGGGATGTGGTGGGGGATGGGCTCCCCTGCCATGCATCACCTTCTTAGGGCAGTGAAAGGGCAGCTAGCTGAAGCTTGGGGGGAGGCGGGGGGCACTGGGACACAGGGCTTTCACTCTCGACGGGGTCATAGTGTTAGGAACGGCGGGCATCCTCCCACACCAGAGGGGCCATTTATTATGTCCGATAGGATGGCCTTGCCCGGCCTGGATGCCACCAGTCAAGGCCAGGTCTCTGGCCCCCTGTACAACCTCCAACCGCATGGGGGGAAGGACCGATCGCAGGCACAACCAGGCCCTGCGGACCAAATACCTAAACGTTACTGTCACAGAAAGGATTGGCCCCCACTCGGCGGCGGCCCTGGACGCACCTATTTGCACGGAGGAGTTGGTCATGGCCCTGAAGAGATCTAAAACCGGCAAGGCCCCAGGCTTCTCCACCGGCAACTATAAAAAGTTCGCCGAGAGACTCCTGCCGCGGCTCACGAACGCCCTTAACGCAGTGGCGGAGGGGGGGAGATTCGGCCGGGAATCCCTGTCCGCAATAATAACCGTTTTACTAAAATCTGGGAAGGACCTACAATGCTGTGGTAGCTATCGTCTGATTTCCCTTATAAACGTTGACACCAAATTGCTGGCAAAGGTGCTTGCTACAAGGATCCAACCCTATCTTCCACATCTGATTCATGAGGACCAAACAGGCTTTATCCCCGGGCGTGAAGTGCGGGATAGTACCCTGAGACTCTTCTCCATCCAACACCTAGCGAGGAGGGGGGGGGAACGCCTTCTGCTGCTGTCGACAGACGCGGAGAAGGCGTTCGACCGGGTCAATTGGCAGTATATGCAGGCCACGCTGGAGGCGATGGGCCTGGGGCCGACCCTTCGGACGTGGATAGCGGCTTTATATAGCACACCACGAGCTTCCGTGAGGGTCAACGGTGCCCAGACAACCGATTTTGCGATACATAACGGTACTCGGCAGGGTTGCCCCCTCTCCCCACTGTTATTTGTCCTGTCCTTGGAGCCACTTCTACATGCGATCTGCTTGAACCCGAACATACAGGGGTACGACGGAGGGGGATCCACGCATAAAGTGGCGGCGTACGCGGATGATTTACTTTTTTTTGTCAAACACCCGCGAACCACTCTGCCGCACTTGCTGGCGGAATTTGACCGCTATGGTGCAATATCAGGATTTAAACTTAACCTCACAAAATGTGAGGTACTGAACCTTACAATACCCGCAGCGGAATTCAGGGCGCTGGAATCTGAATTTGCATTCAGATGGTACCACGACAAAATGAAGTACCTGGGTGTCTGGGTAGCCACGGACCCCGGGAGACTCTATGAGAACAACTTCCAATCCCTCCTGCATACAATAAAAACGGATTTGGCCAGGTGGGCCCTCCCACACATAACATGGCATGGGCGCATAGCAGTGCTCAAAATGAACGTACTACCCAAGGGGCTATATCTCCTACAGACATTACCCATCACACTCCCGGTGTCCTTTTTCTCCTCCCTGAAAACGGCAGTGCTCCGCTTTACGTGGCGCGGCGAGCGCTCCAGATTGCGGCATGACATCCTCTGTTTGCCCAGGTCCAGCGGTGGACTAGCTCTGCCGGAATTTAGGAAATATTACCAGGCCACGGTCCTCCAGCGCATCCTAGATTGGCACCAGAACCCTTTGCGAAAGCTTTGCGTACAGCTGGACAGGGAGGCAACGGAGGGTAGGATAGAAAGCATGATCTGGGGAGGGGACCTGGGGCCTCGGGAGCGGGGAGTCGAGGAGGGACCGGTCGCACGCACACTCCGGGGCTGGAAATCTCTAAGGGAAAAGCTAAACATATCACCAACGCATAGTCCACTTCTCCCGGTGACACTTAACAGAGGCATTGGGGGAGGCATGCCGGCCGGAGCATGGAGTTTCCTGGGGAGGGGGACTATATACCTATACGTCGGGTCCTGGGCGCAGACGGACTTCGGGGCCTTGACTCGATTCTGGAGGGGAGACCACGGACCCCCATGATTATCCTGTGATACCTGCAGCTGAAACACTACTACACGAAGCTGCCACACAGAGAACGTCTCCACAGGGAATCAACGTGGTTTGAAGACGTGTGCGAACGAGGCACCTCCATAGAGCATGCCATCTCCACAATTTACCAATACCTAATAATGAACTATCAACCATCCGTGGCCACCTTCAAGAGGCGTTGGGAGGAGTCCCTGAATAAGACATTCACCACACCACAATGGGATAAGGCCCTGATTTGGCAACATAAGAGCTCCATCAGCTCCTACTACCAGGAGGTTGGATACAAATTGATCTCATTTTGGTATCGAACGCCAATGGTGCTACATCAAATGTTCCCAGTGGTGCCGCCGACATGCTGGAGATGTCGCAAGAAGAGGGGCACGCTGATCCACCTGTGATGGGAGTGCGGAGACATCCTCCCGTACTGGGACATGGTGAAAACCGAGACGACGCTCGTGCTGGGAGACGTGCTGGACTGGTCCGCCGAACTGGCTCTCCTGCACGTCTCTCAGCAGACGATTTCGAGCTATAAGAAGTCAATCCTCCGGCACCTGCTGAACGCTGCTAAGGCAGCCATCCCGGCGTACTGGAAACAAACTACCACACCGAAAAAGTCGGAGTGGATACAGCAGGTGGAAGATATACAGAGCGCGGAGGCGCTCCACGCCTCCCTAACGGGTAGGGTAACCAAACACGCAGACATGTGTTCATGTATATTGCTCAACGCCCTTGGGCGGGGGGGGGCCTCTGGGCCCGTGGCAGGGGTGGGGACGGGCGCCGGCCCCTCGTCGTGCGGACCACCCCACTTTAACTACCCCCCTCTATTGTTTTCCTTAAACCTCACCCGCTCCCAGAAATGCGGGAGGATTCCCGAGGCGAACCGGGTGGGAAGTTACAGAGGTGCGCACACACTGACACACCATTGAATACTAAGACAATACACACACTACAGCCACACAACCAACAAGTAATCACATACGTCAGCAGACTTAAGAAAAGTAGAAGCGCATTACCAAAAGTTACCTGTAACGGGACAGCCTCCTGAACACAACTGTTCCCCAACATACACGGATGCATACCCCTTTGACTGTCGAAGACCTGTGCTTTTCAACTAGAGATTAGGGATCAGAGCCGTATACTATAGAGCATGGTAAAGCTCATCTGTCAGGGTGCGGGGAAAAACAGTGATACAAGTCTTATAGCTGTACAATCACGGTTGATCAGGAGGCAGAATGACACGTCCCCTGTCAGATCACAGAAGAGACCATGGGCGACAGGACGATAGGTGACTTCTCCATGGTTGGGAAACCTAAGAGCTACAACTAGCCTAGGAACATAAAGGCACTTAAACACATCACATCCACTCTTACTACATGTGTTCTACATACGTGGTTTTCTTCTGTTCATTATATATTTACTTTTTATTGTTTATCTCTTAGCTCTATTCACTACTAGGGACCTGTGAGTCCCATATGTACAACTGTCCTGCTTCCTGACCTGCTTCCTTGTACTCTTGTTTATGAAAATCTAAATAAAAAGAGATTTACAAAAAAAAAAAAAAAGAGTCATGTCTACAAATGCTCGCAGTTTAGGGAATAAGATTCATGAACTTGTGGCAATAATGGCAACTGATAGTGTAGATTTAGTCGCTGTTACTGAGACATGGTATAATGAGAAAAATGACTGAGACATAGCAATACCAGGGTACTCTTTATATAGGAAAGATAGGGAAGGCAAGAAAGGGGGAGGGGTGGCCTTGTATGTGAAGGATAGCATAAAATCTAGCCTAATAAAAGTTAGTGAGGCAAACATAGAGTCCGTTTGGGCTCACGTTAAAATTTGTAATCACACAGTAACTCGTGTAGGTGTGATTTATAGGCCCCCAGGACAAATTGAAGAGTTAGATAATCTACTAGTTGAGGAAATAGCTAAAATGACAACGAAGGGGGAAGTTATCATCATGGGTGACTTTAATCTTCCTGATGTAATTGGAAAACAAAATTAGCTGCTTGTGCCAGGAGCACACATATTCTAAACTCCCTACTGGGATTGTCTCTAAAACAAGTTGTTGAGGAGCCAACTCGTAAAGAGGCCATACTAGATTTAGTGTTAACAAAT